CATATCTAGGTTCTATTATTGATCGTGCTAGGGAGAAATTTGAAGATGCAAAAATAGTAATATCTCTCCCAATCCCAAGAGCCGACGAGGAGTCTTTGAACAACAAAGCTCAGATTTTGAGTTTGATGGCAAAAGAAGAATTCAGAAATAAATCAAATGTAGAGCTATGTGACAATAGCAATATGGCATTTAAAGGGAGAGCTTTCCAAAAATATTTGGACCCTAAGGATAATTATCATCTTTCATATAATGGCACTAAAATGTTGGCATCTAATATAAGAGACACCATTGACAGGATTCATGGCCTCCCCCCGAGAACTCCCATGAAACGAAACGTTAACCAATACAATTATACACCGCCTAGAGTCCAACGTGACAATACAAATGATTTTGTGCCTGATGATGATTTGCAACAGTATATGTACAACAGAGGCCGAGGCCAGCGGTATAGAGGCGGAAGAGGGAACAATCATCAGTTTCGAGACAATCGTGATTATAACCGCAGGGGATATTAACATTTAAAGGCAAAGCGTTAATTTCTGCCAAATATATACTTACATTTATAGCTATACATTGTATTGTACAACTTTATTTGAATTTAGTTTTCAACTTAGCATATTTGTTTGGGATTTTTTTTTTTTTTTGTGTGTGTGTATATTTGATATAACATCTTGTGAATTACACAAGTTTTTATTTTCTCTCCCAAATTACTTGAATATTTTAGTTCACATTTTAACAACACTATTTCTTAAATATTAAATTGAAGTAATGAATAAGCACAAAAATATTCTATTATCTAATTTATCTTCTTGTGTTTTAAATGTTGGGAGCTTAATTTCTAAATCCTACAATAAATTACACGACCCCTCATTTCTAAAACAGATCATTCAGCATGATATTATACTATTGACAGAAACACATTTGGGATATAACACCCCTATTAGTGTTGAGGGATACAATTTTTCCCCAGTTTGTAGATCACAGTCCTCAAATTCAAGATTTTATGGGGGCCTCGGTATACTAATAAAGAATATTATCTGCCCAGGCATAAAAATTTTGCAAAATACCAGTAAAGATTATCAGTGGATTAAACTGAATAAGAACATTTTTAATCTAACAAATGATATATTTCTGTGTCTAGCCTATATAATTCCAAGTATGTCAAGTTATTTACATCAGTCTGATGATGATGTATTAGACAATATTGAAAGGGATATAACATGCAAATATAAACAGTTAGGAGATATTATATTATGTGGTGATTTGAATGCTCGGTCAGGATCAGAGCCAGATTTTATACAAAATGATGTTTATGATACTCATTCACCTATATATGATGATTATGATTGTGATACTATTCAAGATGTAAGACATAGTTATGACAGTAAGGTTGATGTTAGAGGTAAACAGTTATTAGATTTATGTATGTTTACAAAAATGAGAATTTTAAATGGAAGAGTATTGGGTGATTTGTATGGTAAATTTACATGCCATAAACCCACAGGATCTAGTGTTGTAGATTATTCTATTGTTTCAGAAGGACTTTTACCTAAAATTTTATCTTTCAAAATATCAGATTACATCCCAAATTTTTCAGATTGTCATTGTAAGTTGTCTTTTGGAATTTTAGCAACTTATTCTTCACATTTATCTGTTAATAAATTTTAAATGCATGCATTTCTAGGTGGTTATAAGTGGACAAAATCATCAACCAGTAAATTTCAAGATGCACTTTGCCACCCTGTTTGCAAAACTCTTTTAAATAATTTTATGAATCATGATTATGACAATGAAGATTCAGAGAGAGCAGTTTCTGATTTTTAAATATTATAAATGTTGCTGCTTCAAAGGCAAATATTTTTCGCAATAAATCATCTAAAAAACGAAGACCTAATTGTAAATAGTTTGATTCTGATTTAGGTGTGAAGAAGAAAACTCTAGTATCAAAAGGTGAATTATTGTCAAAATTTCCGTATGATCCTATCATCAGAGGTTCATATTATAAATGCTACAGAGAATATAATAAATTGCGTAAATATAAAATGCGCACATTTAAACAGTCCATCCTGGATAGTCTTGATAATTTAAGAGATTCTGATCCAAAACAATACTGGAAACTTATTAATTCTTTAAAGGAGTCTACAGATGATAGTAAAGAAAAGTTAGTTAGTTAAACCAGAAACCTCGTTTAATCATTTTTCAGGTTTGAATAAATCTCTATCAATCAGTGAGACAAGAATTAAAGAAATTAATTCTAAAATAGAAAATATGGAAAAACACTTCCTGTGAATTAGATTATAGATTCTCTACTAAAGAAATATTTGAATAAATATGTAAACTCAAAAGTGGTAAGGCATCAGGTCTGGGTGGTATACCTGATGAGATGCTAAAGGCAGGAAGTTTAGTTCTAAATCCTTTAATTCAGAAACTTTTTCACCATGTATTTTCATCTGGTAAATATCCAATGCAGTGGTCATCAGTTTATTTATCTGCTGTTTTTAAGTCTGGTGATCCAAGTAAAACAGATAATTATCGTGGCATTGCCATTAATTCTTGTGTGGGTAAATTATTTAACTCTGTTTTAAATATCAGACTAGATCATTTTTTGGTAAAAGAATCATTGATTAATCCATGTCAAATTGGATTTTCAAAAAAATGTAGACCATCTGATCATGTTTTTTAAAAACCATTATTGATAAATATATTAGTAAAAAGGGGGGTAAACTGTTTGCCTGTTTTGTAGATTTTAAACAGGCTTTTGATAAAGTGATTCATGAGGGTATCAGATATAAGATATTAACAAACAATATTACTGGAAAGTTTTATTCTATCATTAAAGATATGTATAATAAAAGTGACCTCTGTGTTAAAATTGATAATGAAATGACCCCATGTTTTAAATCATTTATAGGGGTTAGACAAGGTGATGTTTTAAGCCCAAATATTTTCAAAATATTTATTAATGATCTACCTGACAAGTTTTTATTATGTCCTGATTCAGTAAATATTAATAACCGTAGAGTAGATTGTCTTATGTATGCTGATGATGTAGTATTTTTTTTAGAAACACAGGAAGGTTTGCAAAAGAGAATTAATATGTTACATGAATATTGTTTAGAATGGTGTTTTGATGTTAATCTAAAATAGACAAAAAGTATAGTTTTTAACAAGCCAGGAACATTTTTAAAATGCTGTTTACATTTTGGATGTAAAGAGATTGAATGTGCAAAATTATATAGATATCTTGGAATTACATTTACAGTGTAAAGATGAATTATACAACAAATCTTTAAAAGCATGTTTTAAGCTACAGAGATGCTTGTCATCATCTAACCCTAGTATTGCCACTTTTTTATATCTTTATGATCATACAATTAAACCCATACTATTATATGGCAGTTAAATATGGGGAATGGTTCGTACTGGTTCAGCTGCTTGTAAAAAAGATAATGATTATATATTAGAAAAAGTTTTTGGTCAGGATTCTTCTGAAAAAGCTCATAACAAATTTATGAAATATATTCATGGTGTAAACAGAAAGTCCAGTAACATAGCTGTGATGTCAGAGCTTGGTAGATTTCCTATTTATTGTACTATAATTTTATCAATGTAAAAATATTGTCATAGACTGGTAGGTTTGAAAGAAGGAGTATTATTTGATGCATTCATATGTTGTAAACAATTACATATTTCTAATGTAAATACATGGTACTCTAGTATAGATTATATTCAGAGAGAGATTGAATTACTAAATTTTGACCAATCAATTGGTTCTTTATGTCAGTATGTTAAAAATAAACAATATGAAAGTTATTTAACATTTTGGAATAGACTGAAGTATCAAACAATTAACTCTGAAAAAGGGAAGCTTGGTACTTATTTTTATATAAAACATTGTTTTAAAAAAGAAAAATATTTAGAACTACAGGATTTTAAAAAACGACAGTCAATTTGTAAATTAAGAATAAGCGCTCACTCTTTAAAAATTGAGACAGACAGATATTCAAAAAAAATATATAGAAAGATCTGAGCGTCTTTGTTCAAATTGCTCACTTGGTGAAGTTGAATATGAGCTTCATTTTTTGTTAGAATGCCCTCTTTATGATATTTAAAGGGAAGAATTTTTTTCAATACATTTCTAACAATTGTTATAATTTTAAAAATTTTAATAAATCTTCTAAATTGTTATGGCTCTTGACCCAAGAAAATGTAACTCTTATGGAAAAACTGGGCTGTTATATTTGTGACTATTTTGAATTAAGGAGATCAGGTATGAATATTGACACTAAGTCAAGTAAATGATTTGAGAATGAATGCATATAATGTAATTTTATTCTTTTATTCACAATATATATGTGGTTTTTGGCTCTGATTCTGACCAATGCTAATATACTTAATATATATTTACAAGTGACTATCATTGTTGTTGTTACCAATTATGTAAATCAATTGTATCTGATTTTATGCCCTTTATTGGCCCTGTAATTTCGGAAATAAAAATATTCTATTCTATTCTATTAGATATATATAACCTGTGTCTGTAGTATCAAATTATAAGCTGTGTATCATTGTTAAGTTTGCACACTAAGTGACCTAGCTGCCTCGATTAAATAAGTTTGACCTGAATATTCATGAAATATTTACCGTTAAATGTTATGAATACAACGATCGATCGATTAACTAGTGTGGTGGTGGGATCAGGTATTTGGTTGTTTAATTTATTCAGAACTTGAATAAGGCATTTTTATTTTTTTGGGGGACAGGTCTTTTTTTAATTATAATAATTATGATTCCATATTAGATGAACAAAACCGTTTATTACAAAAGAAAAATGATATAATAGTTCGTTTCTATTTCAAATTTGTAAAAACATTCAAATAGCAGCATATATTGTAATTAACGGTTCTGGTTCCTGTATGTTATCAAACGGTTTTGCAAGATTCAAAAAAACCCATGACCAGATAGATGAAACAATATCCAAAAAAAACAAAATCGCTTACCTATTTCTTGTTTATAAATATCTTGGTTAACTTTTGCTTTCGTTTCTGCAAATATATATACAAGTGAAATGTTGTCAACTCTTTCCGGAAACCTTTATGTTATTGCGTACAATAAAAATAGGCCAAGTTGAAGTGTTTTGTTTTTGCCATATCAAAACGTAGTGGTACTATGGAACGCCACAGCTGCCTTATGAAAACGATAATCATATCATTAAGGGTTGATATATAACATGAAGCAAATTTTCTATGCTACTACGACATTTGACTATACTACTCTTTCAATTTGCTATATCACTAAGATAAATTCATGTACTATAAATACGTTTTGATATAACATGGAGTTACCTTTTCATACTATTTTGTCATGAAGAAATTCTTTAATACCATGAAGACATCTGGATATAACATGAAGCTACCTTTTCATACTGATTTGTCATTTTACAATACTATTCTGTCATATTACTATGTTATGAAGACATATTTTAATATCAAGCTACCATTTTCTTATACCACGAGGTGTCATTTAATTATATACTAATAGACTATTTGATTACGCTATAAGACCATTTCGTCGTACTATTAGAAGACAACTCTATAAATAGCGGCGATGATGTACAAAGACTTCTCTGTTGGTTCCAATCTGCCAAAAATGTCAGTTGGTTCTCTTTCAGAACTGTATCTAATGACCCCATCCGTTATCCAAGATGGTCGCCATAGAAGAACATATTTAATCATAGGCCCCTATGGGAAAATCACTTCTTGTTTGAAACCGATTGACCAATTGGAACAAAACTTTGGCGGAATGATCATAATGAGATCCTCTTATAGAATTTTATCTGATGACCCCATCCGCTAACCAATATGGCTGCCACAGCCAAACATTGTTTAACATGGGACCTTATGGGAAAATGACTTAAAGATCTTCTCGTCTGAACCACTTGGCCGATTTGGACCAAACTTTAGTGGAATTGTTATAATGTGGTCCTCTTTCAGAATTATATTAGATAAGCTCATCCGTCAACCAAGGTGGCCCCCATTGCCAAACATAGTTAAAAATAGGACCCTATAGGAAAATCACTTAAAGATCTTTTGTTTAAAACCAATGGGGCAATTGGGACCAAACTTTGGTGGTCCTAAGGTGGTATCCCCATCAATCAAACAAGGTAACCGCCATAGACATAGTTTAACTTAGGACCCTATAGATAATCTCTTCAAGATCTTCTTGTCTGATACCACTAGGTCAAATTTAACCTAACCTGTTATGTAAAAGATCTTGATTTCTGCGTTGAAATACAGGTGAGTGATACATGCTCTTAGGAGCCTTCTGGTTTGGTATTGTGGTACTGCCCGTTTTTAACAAAGGCCAAATTGGGTGTTTTCGCATAGGGGACTTGTAAAAATTGCACATACAATTAATGTCGCCAGGATAGCGTCTCCTTTCTTGTCCGAGCCTCTTCAAATTCAAACTGATGTTCACTCTCATGGAAACCTTGGTTAAGCTCGATTTTCAGAAAAAATCTGAAATGGGGGACCATTTTTGGGGGATTGGGACTTGCAAAACATTTATGTCGTCTGGATAGAGTCTCCATTTCTTGTCCGAGCGTCTTCAAATTCAAATTGAGGTTCACTCCCATGGATCTTTATTACCCAGTGAAAATGTGGGGGCCTGGGGTAAGTAGCTTATTAAGGTTCTTTAATTGTTATATGTCTTTACGTCAAATACTTTGGATTTGTGGTGGCTATGAATTAATGTTTCACATTTATTTCGAGCCATTTAGTGCTTGGTATGTGGTGTGGACTGTTGCACTATATTGAAGACCACACGGCGACCCCTAGATGATGGCATTTTTGCCATGTTCTATTTTATTGGGATGGTGTCTCATTGACGCATACCCTGTATCCTTTCTTTTTAATATTCTTATAAGCTTGAAATCCATAGGACAGGGCTACCTTGATTAATGTTAAGTTCAAAAGATTAAAATAAGATTGGTTTTATTGCTGACTCTGAGAAACAATATTCACACATTTGATGAAAGCGTCTATTCCATGGTTCTTAGTGGTGTTTGGAAAAGGTACGGAAGTTCTAAGTGAATCTCTGTATCCCTGCCACAAGGTTACGGAAATTGAACAAAAGTCTGGTCTACTGTTACCATCATGCTCCAAACTAGAATTATTGAAACCTTCTACACCATAATACTGAAGATCACATTCTGGTATTGCACCGACTGTGTTTTGCAGCTAGCCTGCTACCCAAAGAGCTAATGGTTATAATAGTTGTACGACGTCGATGACATCACCAAGCATATACCCAATTTTCAATTTTCCTGTTGATATCATCCATGAATATGTAATGCAGTACCATCAACTGCAACTCGTTCAATGGATCTAAAACACCTATATCCTCCATAAGATAAAAATATGGTAAAAATAACATAGAACGCCTTCGTAAAGATCACGCCAAATTCATTTCATGAATATTGGCAATAGGCTGTAACCGTCAATTCTACCGACAATAATGAATTTCCAACGAATCAGTTTGTGATATGTGTCTATGTGGTCCCTCCACATTATAAATTCGCCTGTGAAGCGTCCACTGCGTCTTTCTTGTGGACCGTTTTCGTCGACTCTTTTAATATTGTCTCGTAAACGCCATCTCGGAACATGTGTTCTTTTCTTTTCAGCATGATTCTTAAATAGGTTTCCCCACACCGTGGAAAGTCACTAATTATTCCAATCAGATTTTGGTCAAGTTCACCATCTTCTATTTCAGAGAAAGAAGTTTTGCTTAAATCATATACGGCCATCCTTCTGTAAACTGTTCGCTCAAAGACGGACAGTATTTTATAAATATCGGATATTTTAAATCCAATCTCCAGCATGTGTCCTAATATTGACATCGCAATGTTAAATATTTGCACGCCTCCATTTGTAAGTACTTTACCCGGTTTTGAGGTACCATATTTAGAGCAATCTAACCTTAAATTCATCATGACTGACCTGTTTTGGACACAGAGCTCCTCCGTTTCATGCGATGACAACTGACAACATTCATAAACTCATTTAGTATTTACACCAAGATGTTGTGAAATGAACATGGATGCCCTGCATTTATCATGCTTTTCAATAATATATGATCAAATAGCTGAAAGACGCCCCCCCCCCCCCCCCCCTAAATTATGGAAAACTATTATTCTGTATTGACAATTATATCTTGATGTAAATTAGATACACCAAATCGGTCTAACGCCCTCATGGGTTTATCTAATACTTATTGTACCGAGTTAAATCATATTAGAACATTATCTATAGACCCAATTAAAACAAATCGGAAATTGATTCCGTCTTTAAACCCTCAGTACGTGATAGAGGGTCTTGATGGAGTTTACAGAATAAAAAACTAATGGGTCAATATTAGAAACAAACAGGCCAAAAAATACAGAATAGCGAGAAATATGATACTTAAATATAAAGAATAGAGACTACAGGGCCAAGATTAGAAACGAATAGGCCAAACAAATACAGATTAGGAAAAATAGAATACTTAGGATAGATAATAAAAGGCAAACTATATAAAAAAATAAAGAAACTTTACCTTAAGATTAAAAGGATTACAGAAAAAAGACCCCTCTATCCCTACCCTCGAGATTAGTATGGTATGGAAAGCACGTGTTAATAATTAGGTTTATTTTTACAACAATCATTGTTTTATTTTGTTTTACTGAAGTGTTATGAAAAAAATAACAGACGATATAATGGAGAATCAAATTCATTTTGCTCACTTTTCACGTTCATTGCCAGATATGTATGTGCACTAGATACAAACTCAATATATAAGTTAAGTGTTGGATCATCGAACTAATACCATAAGTGGATACCGGAAATACAATTATTAGTAATGTTGTAGTATATAATTATAATATAAAAATAAGAAGATGTGGTATAATTTCCAATGAGACAACTCTCCACCAGAGACCAAATGACAGAGAAGTTAACACCTATAAATTTCGTGTAGCCGAAGCGTGAATTTACTTTCACCAGGAACGCTCAACCTTTAAACTGAGGTCATAGGTCAAATTTACAAATCCATAAAAAATGATTTCAATTTTGATAATTTTTTACTTTTCCAAATTCTGCATATATTTACCAAATGTTACTTGTTGGCTTCTATATCTGTACTTTATATATAAACAACTTAACCAGATATCTTTATTTACATTAAATTTCTCAAAATAACCGTTTTTATAATTATAATATTATGTTTTAACCAAAATAAATTTGATATGACATTGACCTTACAAATCACTTGACATTCACATTGAAAGCATCTGTCAGTAAGACACTACCATAGACATATTATTTCTTAGTTTAACATTGTAAGCGAGGTGTAAGATTGAACGATTGTTATTTGCTTTACATCCAGTGAAAAAACTTTTATTCACGCTTAGGGAGGAATTTTGTACGCCAGACGCGCGTTTCGTCTACATAAGACTCATATTCCTGTTTTCAACAAGGTTGTGTGTTGATGTCTTCTAAAAACTGATTCCTGCCTAGAAGTTTACTTCTTGACAAGCCCCTATCCTTCTGCAACGTACTAGTTTAACAGACTTTCAAAGGTACTTATTATCCTGTATCGCCATGTCTGTCAGCCATTATATATAAAAATCAGAAGATGTGGTATGATTGCCAATGAGACAACTCTCCACAAGAGACCAAGAGACACAGAAATTAACAACTATAGGTCACCGTACGGCCTTTAATAATGAGTAAAACCCATACAGCATAGTAAGCTAAAAAAAAGGCCCCCAAAATGACAAATGTAAAACAATTCAAACGAGAAAAATAACGGCCTGATTTATGTACAAAATAAGGAACGAAAAACAAATATGATAAACAGCAACAAACGACAACCACTGAATTACAGGCTCCTGACTTGGAACAGGCACATACAGAATGTAGCGGGGTTAAACAAGTTTGTTGGCACGCCATCCATTAGAAAAATAAAGGCGAAAGATACCAAACGGACATTAAACTCATAAGTCGAAAATAAACTGACAACTCCATGGCAAAAACAAAAAAAAAACAAAAAAGAATACCAAAAAAACAACAACAG